AACTTTAGACTGTAGAAATCTCTATTATTAACTAGGCTGCCTTACAACAACTAAGTTTGGTTATTTAAGATATTCATTCCTTACTTTTTTCATTTCAAATTATTAAAATTATCATAAAATCTCTCACTTTGTTGGGTTACTTTGTGTTTTCAGCTTTTTTTCTCTTGATTTTAAATTATTTGGAGCATTTTTTTTTTTTTTTTTTGCCACTGTTTTAAATTTATTTTTTTTTATTTTTAATCACAGCAGTGGATCAATAATCATGTAGATTAGTAACATTCATTCCTATTGCATAATAATTGTTGAATATATATATATATATATATATATATATATATAATCATAGCTTTAATCATACATTAATTTATGACATGGCATTTCAAATGGGGTCTTCTATGTGCTGTGTCACATTGTAGCTTTTAATAAATTTTGTTTTTTTGATATCTCTCCCAAACTTTGCTCTGCCATTCATTTACTCAAGTTTTTCAGGTAGGCTATGCATTGTTTTCGTTTGTCCTTCTTGCCCTCAATCTGTCCTGTGATTATCAAATTTTTCAACAGTGAGTTCAAAAGTTCATGAGGGTAGCCATGTCTTCACTTCTTTCTTTTATTACATCAGTACTTGGATTAAAAACTAGTACTGGAAATTTCTCCAGTTCATTTTCTAAATACTAATGAGTTACTGTTTTTGGTTTTAATGTTATTCATGATGCATAATTATCCATTGTTGTATCAGAGAACACTTCATCCACTGGAGGATTTTTGACTGATTTGGAACTGTGATGACTTCAGAATTGGAATTGTAACCATCTACAGCTAGTCTTTCATTTTCAAATTTAAGCAAAAACAAATTTTTATTGGTCTTCCCTTACTAGCATATTTTGAAAAGTCCATATTGTTTAAAGAAAGGTTAATTTTATTTTTAATTCAAGATTTGATCATTGCAGTTTTGTGAACCTTGTGGTATCACTGGCAACTATTGACAAAAATCTCTAAGTAAAATCACCTTTTCTTCAGATTCATTGCTAACACCAGTGACATCCTTTAGACATCTATCAGTGTCACTGAGAGCATGCACTAAAATCATTAGTAATGAAGAGAATTTGATTCTTGATGTAGGATGTGTTAATCCAAAGTTAGGGATATATTGCAAACACTCATTTCAATTATAGATACTATCAGTTTAAATAAACCATATATGGTTTTTCATCTTGAAAGCAGAGTGGCTGCAATTCCAGTCTAGACTGCACAAGAAACTACATGATACATTGATTTTACATAAATACCTTACATATCTTTGATAATAGCTTGGCAGCTTGGTTTCACCATTTTATTGTTGAAATTGCTAGATATAACTATAAGTTCTTTTCCTTTTTCTTTTTCTCTTTTTAAATCATTTCACCCAAAGCAAAGCAATAATGTCACCAAGATGCAAGGTGCTATTAGGCATGAAAGGGAATGAGAAAACTTTAGAAGGAACTAGAAACCTGATCCTAAACAAGAAACAAGGGATAAACCTCTACTCCTGTTCAATAGACAGGAAAGGGGTGTGAACTGAGTGATAGGTGAACATATCTACTCCTAATAGTTACTTCTTGTCTGTAAAACTGCCTTAGGGCTTTTTACTTTCCTATCAATCGCAATCTCAAAAATTTAAGTGCAACATCAATCATCATCATGTTTCCTTGTATCCTGTTCTTTTATTTGTTCTCTCTTTTCAGTAATGTTTTCTGAGTTTCTTTTGCTCTCAGTAACCCCTTGCATGATTTTATTGCCTTGCGTGGATTGAAATGATTAAAAAAAAATATAGTTGCAAAGGAAATAAAAAATGAATGATTACCCAGAGGCACCAGGAGAGTCAATATAAAATCTTGCACAACAGTATTTATAATTAGTCACAATTTCTTTCTGGGCATGGTAAGCTTTACAATATCAGGCATTATTGGTATTTGCACTTCAAGTGATTGAGGTAAACCAATTCTTGAATGATTTCCATTTTCAAAGAGAATATTATGCATTACATACAAGGATTCAGTTTCCAATTTCCCATGATCCCCTGAGTAATTTCCAATCATTGCAAATTTAGTAGCTTCCCAAAGCAGAAGCACATTAATGGGCACCAATCTAAGACTTATGTAGATACAAATCACTCTCTCCTCACCTTTCTTCTTACCCTCTTATAAAATAACCAAATCTTTTACTTTGTCCAAGTATTGTGCTTTATAAAAGTAGGTGAAAAAAATGCATATGTATTTATTGCTTGAAAATATATTTCATATAGCAAAATAAATATGTTGATTTATTAGAATAAAAATGAATTTTAATAAAATCTTTAACAATATCACAAGATATTTTTTTTTAAAAATTGATTCCCTTTTTATCTATTCATTCATTTCATAGAATCTGACAGCATCAGTGTCATATTCCTTCCATTACCATGACAACAGAAGATGATTTTTACTTAGTTGCTTATATGGTGTTACATGCATAAACTATAATCCTTAGAATAATTATAGAGAGACTATTTAAATCAAGATTTCTGTTAAACTCACATTTTTTTTTATTGTGAAAAACATTAACTCTAAATTCCTTATATTATTATATTATTTTTTAACATGTAATTAAACAAAGAATTAATTTTTATTCAGTTGTTTCTTTACACCCCCACTTAATACTGAAAAGAGCAATAACAGCTACTGAACTTGAGAAACCTGTTTTCCTGAAAAAATTGTTTAAGGGAAAGATTTTAAAAATTTCAACCAAAAGAAGTACTGGCTGCATGGTCAGTGAATGCCAAATGTTTCCTTATAGGGAAACAGCTAATATTAGCATTACCATTATTATATTTGCTAAGAAAATTAAGCTAAGAATTTGCATACCAATAAATGTCATCTTGTAAAAGAAGGTATGATAAATATATTGAGTAATAAACTGAAACTGTTTGCTCTATATTTTTGAGAGGCAGTGAAAGTAAGGAGTAACTAAATTATTTAAGATTATGTTGATTCAGTTGATAACTTTCATGTTGGAATGTGTTTATAGTTTGCCATTTTAAATGCAAGAATTTTTTGTGTTTGTATGTTTTTAAATTTAGTCTGAGTAATTCAAATTATAGTTTAATGAAATATTACATCTAAATATCTATATTAGTAAAAGTCAATTGATTCACATTGCTAATTTATATTTCACAATTTTCGGTCCCTTTGCAAATAAATTTGTGGCTTTTCATTGATTTTTAAGATTTTTCTTGGAGTTTTATCTTTCATCACAATAGTGCTAATTCTTGAATGTTTACATTTTTATTTATTTATATTTCTGCATTTTTGTATTACGAAATCTTGTGGGTCTTCCTGTATTTTTTTTATTCAATTCGCCTCAAGCAATGGGATAATGACACCAAAACACAAGAGGTTACTGGGAGTGAAAGAGAATGAGAAAACTTTAGAAGGAACTAGAAAGCCCAGTCCTAAAGGGGAAACAAGAGATGAACTTCTACTTTTGTTCAATAGACATGGAAGGTGTGCGAATCAGGCAATAGACAAACCTGCCTACTCTTGTAACATAAGAAATGAGAAGTAATTATAAACTTGTGTAAATTTCAATCAAGCAGTTATTTCTGATTCTTGATATTGACTTCAAGAATAACAAAATATGTTTGCTGCAAATTCACCAATTCAGCACTGATACTGTGGCTCTATATCTTGAGATTATCGATTTAAAAAAAAAGCAAAAAAAAAGGTCTGTAATGTTGTCAGTCCTGACATCTCGACTTCAGTTATTTTCCCAACTGCTTTATGGCTATAAATACTTTCATGACACATCTTCTAATAGCCTCTTCTCCTTGATACCTTGACCGCATGAATTTAAACATACTAATAGACTATCAATTAGGTCTCATCATTTTACTATTGAAATAACTAGATGTAAATATTAGTTCTATTCTAATAGTTTCTTTTCTCACCTGTGGAACTCTCTTCCAGTTTCTTGGTTAACCTTGCCACTTATGCTCTTCAAAAATTTAAATGCAATGTCAATTGCCATCTTCTGTCTTCCTGAACCTATTCTTTTATTGTCCTTTCTCCTCATTAAAGTCTTCTCATTCTCTTTTACTCCCAGTAACCCTTGGGTCTCTATAGCATCACCTTGTTTGGGGTGAAAGCATTAGTTACACATACATATATACATATATATATATATATATATAAAAGTGAACATAGAAGTCAACACTTAGAGGCGACAGTCTGTTTCATGCTATATGCAATTGTCAGGCCACGTGTATATATATATATATATATATATATAAGACTGTAAGCATCTTGGCATGAGGTAATGGTTAGCAAGATAGTCTGGTTGACCATTACTACTGAGTGAGTGAGTTCAATCTTTACTTGGAGCTCCATACTTGTGACCATGTAGCAGAACTAAGCTAAACTATGAAGACTGTGTGGCTATTGCATATTTAACTAGAACAAGACTTTACAACTACTTGTATTGTTTTTCTTCTTTTCTTTCGGAGAATGTTTTCAATAACAATAAATGGCTGATGCCATTAAGCAAATGATATGAAAATTGAGACAATTTACAGTTATTGTTATCCTAATCTGCTATAATCAGCCTTACATTATAAAAAGTTAATGCAAAATATATTGATTGAAATAATGATATAATTTACATGAAGTTTTTGAGACCAATTGGTATTGATAACAATAAATTTGATAACGTCTGTGATTATAATAAATGGCTTCTTTCACATTAACATCCATCACTAACCTGATCTAATGGAATTTACTACTAGTTCTTTTTTTTTTTTTTACTAATACTGAGCTCTACAATTAATTTGAAAATTTACTTATATAATCTTACTATAAAGTTGAACTTTTCGACATTCACTTTAATCAAGTCAATTTTATTTAATTTTTCTTCATGGTCACTATTATTTGTTCATTTTCAAATTCATTATTATGACTGATATGTTTAATTCTTTTTATTTTTCTCCTCAGAATTTTACTGTTCTTTATATCAAGATGGGTTACCCTCGTCTGCAGCCAGAAAAACAAGCAGAACTGATCCCTATGCTAATAAACTGTATGGAAGGCAAACCTCAACCCCAGCAAAACAGGTAACACAATTAGATATTTAAGAATAAGTTTATTGATAGACGTGCATTTCAAATATAAAAGTGCATAAATTTTACTTTCATTAATATCAGATTAAAGAATGTGGTCGATAATAGAATTGTTGTAGAAATATAATAATTCCTTTAACTTATCCAATAACTATATTTCCAAATATGTTTAGAAAGTAATGCCTGCTATTTTGTTTTGTTGGCTCATATTAGACGAGTATTGGTAGCATGGCAGTAAAAAGATTTTTTACAAATAGCTATCAAGTAACAGTCTGGCAAAATGGAATCTAATATGAAAGTGTATATGGCACAGAGGTGTAACATTGACTTTAAGAATGCAGAAAAATTGCACAAATTAAATTTTATTGACACTTGCTGAATATTTCCAGAGGCCAAACGGTGGATTTGAGCACAATTGGGCGATTGATACTACATTTCAGCAATGGTGATGGTAATTTGTAAGCTATGTTAATGAGCATGGCATATAGGCTATGTAAAAAAAAAAAAAATCATGTTTATTTAAATTTTCTTGTTTTTTAGTTCACGCACTTTTTAATAAAAAAAAAACTTGTTTGCATATTTCTTTATAAAATGGTAAATAATAAATGTTTATAAAATAGTAAAAAATGCTGCATTTTAGTTGGCTCATATAATTTTAGAATCTTGTAAATATAAAATTCATTTTATAAATGAATCGAACAACTAAATATTGTGTAACATTTTTGTTATTAAAATTCTAAACAATAGTTTTTCAAAACAAATATTGTCAAGAGAGTATACAGAAATAGGGGTGTTAAGAGAAAAATCATCCTTTTGATAGACCTTCCTTTTTCTTTTTTCGTGTTTGAAGGTTAAACATTGCCAAATCTTTTTCTTAAAACAGTTTTCCAGTAAAATAGCCACCCCAAAATTACACTTGTGTGATGTAGTCTTCCTTAATTGTATATTTGACAATAAGGCTGACTTGGACTGATTGTTTCCTCTGATCCTAGAATTACTGCAAAATTACAGTTTGTATGCTATTAGGTTTTGAAGTTTTAACTTACTGTATTTGTATGAAGAACTTATATTCAAAACAGTCTAGAAATAAAAAAACAAAAAATCTTAATGGAATTGCTTTGACTGTTAATTCTAGGGTTAAATAAATATAAACTGCCTGGAAAATTTTATTCGGCAAGCTGAAACATGCAAAATTTGTGAAAAATGAAAGCAAAATAGAAATGACAATTAAAATGCGAAAGAATGTAAAGATATGTTTAAAGATATTCTAATTTACACTATTTACATTATTCAGACTATTGTCCTCATCTTTGTTGCTATATTTATCACATTTTGGCTGTTGTACACTCCGGCCTTCTTCTGTTCTAGTTCCACGTGACATGTCTAATCGATGTCAGTTATCTCCTGTTAACTCACCTCTCCAAGTTCTCCACTGCCTTAACCAGGTATTGAAATTACAACTCTTTGGGTTCTGTCACTGACATCCATTAGACATGGCACATGGAACTAGAACAGTCTACTCCAGCAAGTGAAATGAAGGGATTAGTTCGACATTCCAACCACCTGAAGAAGGCCGAAGTGTACAACAGCCAATCTCATCTCAGAAATATAGACAGAGTTAAAGATATTCTAATTTATACAAGATCTGTTTTGAAAGCATCCAACAATTGTGAATATTTTTAGAACTAGTTGTGAGTCCTTGATGTAACTTAGCCTTCAGATGAAGCCCAAATGTACATGTCTAAGCAGGTCCTCTCTTGGGCGATTCTTCTTTCAGGATGTGGGTGTTCATAAATCTCCGCAGCTTCCTATTTCTTGTAGCTCATTTTTCACAAATTATGTAAAGTTGGTTTTTTTTTTTTGGTTTTTTTTGCAAAAGATTTAAGTTCTGTCTTTTTACAAGCTAAAATTGCTGTTGAAATTTCAGACTGGATAAGAAGATTAACAAAAAGGCAATGAGGTAACTGATGGTGATCCTGAAAGAAGAATAACTCAGGCTATTTTGAAAAGTGAAAGGAATATTAGGATAGTTTTTTTTTGTCAATCAATTCACCCAAACAAGGCAACAATGCCACTAAGATGCAAGGGGCTACTGAGAGTGAAAGTGAATTAGAAGACCTTAGAAGTAACCGGAAGCCCAATCCTAAACAGAAAACAAGGGATAATCATCTACTCCAGTTCAAAAGACGTGGGAGGTTTGTGAGGTCCCAAGGGGAGTATTTTGATGGGGACTAAATTGCTCTCAGTAGGTTACTTATTTTTTTATTAATATTTAACGACTGGTTGCTTTCTGGAGAAAAATTGTTTATTTTTTCTATATTACCCTATTCTTGGCATTTTCAATTGTAATGAAATTAAATATATTTTCTTCCAGTAAGCATTTTTCTTTTAATCATTTCACCCCAAACAAGGAAGTAAAGCCACTAATACACAACAGTTTACTGAGTGAAAGAGAATATGAAAAAAAAAAAAAAACATTAAGGAGAGAGAATAATAAGATAACAGGAATTAAGAAGATAGAAGATAACAATTGACATTTCATTTAAATTTTTGAAGATCAAAATTGACTGGAAAGCAAGAGACCAGAGGAGACAAGAATGAAATGTGAGAGAGATCAAATGTAACTAGAAAGCAGGAAGCCAGAAGAGTTCCATAAGAGAGAAATGTGAGAGAAGAAACTGTTAGCGTAAAACTTATGGTTACATCTAGCCATTTCAACTAAAACATGAGACCTAGCGCTTAAATTCATAATATCTAGGTACTGAAGATGAAAGCTCATCAGAACATTTACAATGTAAATATTTATAGAAAAGGCACAGGGAAGATATGTCACAGCACTGGGAAATTGACTGATGCCAGGTCAAGACCAATAACATTACAGATTCTTCTTTGTATCTTATCAAGCATCTCTAAATACATAGATTTTTATAAATAATATATATTTCTATTAATATGTTATAAAATCTAAAATCATTTCATATGGCACATTTTACTAAATCAAGGGAATCATCCCTTCATTTTTTTTTCTCATAGAGTAGCTTTGTATGGAACTGTCTACAATTAATGTATGTTTAAAAATGTCTGGAGAAGCTCATAATTTTGCCAAACTTTGATCAGTCCCATTAAATATCATTGATAAAGGACGATATTGAAGATAAAGGAAATTTAACACTCACGGGACAGATTGAAGGCAAGAGAGACTGAGGAAAGCAGCAAGTAACCTTCCTAACAAGTTTGTGTAATTGGATGACAGAATAAGGACTTGGAGAGATGCTGAAAAAACAAACCTTGCTAACAGCTATAAAGGATAGGAAATTGTGGAGAGCCATGATTGTCCACATTCTGATGGAACACGATACATAGAGGAAGAAGAAATTATCCAAAGCAAATGTAAATTTTTGGAATTATTTTTAATGGTGAATTTTAAATTATTTCTAATCAAAATAATTTTTCCACAGCAAATTGTTGTATTTTATATAGTTGTGTAAAAATTCTGAAATGTTGTTGGGGTGGTGCAATAGTTATTAGCATGGCAAATAGAACCATTGTAATGGTATGACTCTACTTTTCCCTGTCATTTTTCCAGATATTTTGATAAAAAAATTTCATCTCAATTATGGCACACTAGTAAATGTAAAAGACAGTATACTCTAGGGCACACTACTCTTCTCTAACTATCTTACCTGCCCAAGGAGTAGCAACAAAAGAAGCTGTTTTCTCTATTGTCATCCTTGACAGAAGAGAAGTCTAGTCAGTTGTATGATATTTGTAAGATAAAAAAGCTAAATTCAACTCAAGGCTCTGCACTTATATTGCTTTCATGAGAATTTGTTAACATTTCTTTTGCAGTCTGTTCCAATTAGTGGTGCCTGCTCTCCAATACGTGAAGATATCCAGTGTGCCATCAAAAGTTAATCCCAAATTTGGCTTGTCTGAGAAACCAAACATCAGCAAACAATTCCTGGATTATATGATGGATGTTTTGCTTTTACCTTATAAGTAAGTAATTCTTTGTCTTACATTCTGTCAAATCTGTTTTCATGTCAGTTGGATAGTTGAATTAAGACTACTTTCACTGTTACTGTGATGTCACTTCCTGTTACTTCTGTTCAGCTAAAAGCTAAGTTATATAAATGGTTAATATTTGAATGATATTGGTGTTCAACTTGGAGAGTAATGTTGTGGTGAGCAACACATAGTAGAAAGCAGGAGTTAGGGATGCATAAATTAATCTGTTGATAATTAGCAGTTTAATTAATCTCAATAAAGACAGACAAAAAACATGAAACTCTTAAAATATATAAATTTATTCTATGTATAAGATAACTGATAATTCAGGGATGAAATTTATGCAATACAATAAACAAAGATAACAGCATGAAAACTGATTAATAACAAAATAAAAAATAAGGCTGATTAATCAACAAATGCTGATTTTACCAATTATCAGTTAATTAATCAGTGCAACCTTAGTTTAAGTGACCAGAAGTTTGTGCCACAGTATATGTTTGTGTATAAATAACACTGTTCTTTTTTTCTTGGGAATTGGCTCTGAGTTATAAAATCTTTATTCCTTTTAAAGAAGCAACTCCTATTTTAAATGTATGAAAGAATATCCAGGAAGCTTTACTAATAAAAATAATTAGGTTAATATTTCCTCAATTTGTCCTATCAAAGAATCATATGTGCATTTTTCTGACATTTTCATTTATTTCAAAAATTTCATTTGCAAAAAAAAAAAATTGTAAGATTAGAACCAATTGATTATATAATAAAATTTAAACTTATCCTAAAGAAGTCTTTTTACTAACAGAATTCTCAAGGCAGATTGAAAATTCACTATAAAAGGCAACTACAACTATTTTGTTAGTAATCAAGTGAGCACAGCTAAAACTGATTATAAAATATACTTGTATATCAATATATTTATAAATATTTGATTAAGTTTTTGTAATCATTTCACCCCAAGTAAGGCAATAAAGCCATTATGACACATGGTGTTACTGAGTATGAAAGAATATGAGTAAAAGAAAAACATTATTAAGGAGGAACATCAATAAATGAACAAGAATTAAAACAACAAAAGATAACAATTGATGTCACATGTAATTTTTTTAAGATCAAAGTTGACTAGAAAGCAAGAAGTCAGATGAGAGTTCCACAAGCAAGAAGTGTGGGAGAAAAAACTGTTAGCATGGAACTCATGGTTACATCAAGCCATTTCAACTGTAAAATGATGAAATGTAGCTGCTAATCTAGTACTGCAATTAAATTTGTAAATTCTAGGTAGCAAAGAGAATAACCGAAGAAAATGTTTTTTTTTTTTTTTTTTGGTTGTTTGGATATCATAAGCAACAAAACATGAATAGATTTGTTTTAATAATGAGCAAAAACTAACAATCTTATCTGTTTTCTTTTATAAAAGAGAAAAGTCAATTTTTAACTTTGCTTGGGACATGCATTTTGTTAGTATATTTTATCTGTTTCTAAAAACAATTTCAATATTAATAAGTTTTAAATAAGATATTTTTGTATTATGAAATATGGAAAAAAATGCTTACTAATTTTAATACTGTTTTCCTTTTTCTTCATTATTTTTTGTCTAGTGCACATGTTTCTGTGCCAGCATCTGTTGAAGTACAAGGAAGTGATAATCGTCCTGCCACTGCTCCAGCTAGAAGTCAAGGATCAACAGCACCTATTTCAGTGCCTCCAGGGATGAGTGAACAGAGTCTGAAAAGGGTTACTGGAGATAACCCATTAAAGCCTGAAGAGCTGGAAAAATGTAAACTGGGTATCTTGAATTTCCTGGGTGCTGGAATATTCCCTGATGATAATGTTATCTGTCATTATATCATTGCTGCTGCAGATACACGTCACAGGTGAGTAATTCTTGGTCATGCTTTCCCACCAGCTGAAAGGTTGCTTTAATTAAGTAGAATAGGTAATTAATTTTCTAAATCTCTTCATCTGGTCAAGCTAGTTTGGACACACAAATTGTGTTTGCCACCCATCATGGTCTTACATCAAATTCAAGAGATATCCAGTATTTGTTCAGTTGATTGATATATGTTGTTGCTGCCACCCATGTGTGACCATACTCATGTCTCTAGAGTAGCAAGTTGCTAGCTAACATGTTTTTGGCATGACAGCAGTATCCAACAAAGCACATTTGCCATTAGCAAATTACTTTTGAAGTGGCTGGTTGTTCACTATATAATTGGTTCTTTGTTGGATGCTTTTACCATGTGATGTTTAGTACAATTCTAAGCATACAGGTGTATGTCCAACCCAGTTTTGTTTCTCATTTCTTAGTCAATGTCCACGCTGTTGCATCATACAAAAGAACTGATTCAATAGTGACATAGAAGAAGCTTTAAGATTGCACAGTGTGTTTGATTTCCAGGCAACATCCAATTTATTTAGGAGAGTCCATACCTTAGCTATACAGATTTTTACATCTTTTTCATATGGATGTCAAGTATGGCACCAAACTTATTTAGAACCATTAAACTGGTCAGCTGTATACAACCGTTTTCTCAGATTGATAGTTAAAAAAAGGCTTTGAGTCTCAATGAGAATCATCCTTCTTTGAACTTCATGGACTGGTGTTACAGAATCTCAAAGAAAGAACTGTAACAAATAACACATCATTTGAGGACTTTCAACAGCAGTAACAACTAAAATGGATATCACATGTAACTCAAAGAGAGAATGACATAATCAAGATGTTGACTTTCCTCACTACTTCAAACAAAAGGCAAGGAAGGAAACCCCCATCAATATGGGAAAGAGCAATAACAGCTATTGGACTTGAGTAAACTGTTTTCTTGAAATATTGTTTTTAAGAGAAAGATTTTATAAATTTCAAGCAAAAGTAACTGGCTGCTCGGTCAATAAATGCTGAATGTTTCCTTATAAGGAAATGGCTAATATTACCATTTCTGTTGAGTTGAGTGTAGGTTGGGATTATTTCAGGATTGTATATTGTAACTAGGTTGGTAGAGTTATACATTATAATACCAACTTACATGCATACATTTGCGTATTGCTTCATTTTGATTATGAAATGCTCATATTTATTAAGTGGCCTGTTGTTGAATAGTAAGGCTACTTTATAACTAATATTATTAATGGATTACTCCCAGTTTACTCACAGGACGACTCTAAAACAGGAAGAATTACTGGATTCATATAGTGTAGCATTGAGATACAAGTTCTACTCTGAGGCAGTGTGAAATTAGTATAAGGCACTTTTTTTGAAAAACAAATATAACACCTACAAAGCTAAACTACTCTCCATTAATCACCTGAGAGATTCCTTTCTGTCTTCCATCAGCATGGCTGATGCTAACCTCCAGGAAAGCGACTTATTGCCATGTTCTCGGGCTAACATTCTCAGCTGACATGAAGTGAAAAGATTATATTGAATCCATTGCTAGGTCAGCTGCTAAGAAAGTTGGTTCATTGTGTTATGTGAGACAATTTTTCTCTCCAGAATCTATCTTACATAGCGATGTTTACCATTCATCTATGCTTAGAATATTGCTGCCACATATGGTCCAGTGCTCCTGCTATTTGCCTTGAGCTCCTTGATAAAATCAAAAGAAGAATCAGCAATATTATCAGTCTTGACCTGGCAGCTCAACTTCAGTCACTTTTCTAACACTGTAAAGTTGCCTTCCTGTGTCTTTTCTATAAATACTTTCATTGTAATTGTTTGGATGAGCTCTTTGCTATGGTACCTAAACTTTTTGAATTTCAGCACAGTACTTGACTGGCATTGAGATTTCATCAATTTACAGTTGAGCTGGTTAAATGTAACTGTAAATTCTATGCTAACAGTTTCTTTTCTCACTCTTCTTGCTTGTGGAACTCTCTTCCAGTTCCATGCTTTCCAGCCAACTTTAATCTCCAAAAATTTAAATGCAATGTCAATCACTATCTACTGTTCTCCTGATTACTCTTTTCTCTTCCCACTCATTAGTAATGTTTCTGTTCCTAATTCTTACACATCCAGATCGATCAAAAAAAAAAATAAAAATAAAAAAAAATAACACCAAGAGAGGCCATGAAATGAAGTGATTAGTTTAAGGTTTGATTGGATCTTTTGTAATATGTAGGATACTCATAGTTCAGTCAGATAGCTAGTGTTTTCAACCAGGCTTCCCTGAAGTTTGAATCTCATCAAGAGCATATCCTATATTTCCAGTGCTGTCTCTTCATTGCCATAGATAGAGGGCCTGAGTAAAATTGCTATAAAATGCAACTAAAAAATTGAGATGAAAATAAATACTAGTCAATAATGGTTAGAAGCAACATATTTGGAACATCTGATGATTTGGCTACAAGAATTTAACTGTTATCTCACAAGAAGAGTACAATTAATTGAATAGTTGAACATATGACATAAGAAGTGATAATGATACAACATTTAATATTAGCTGTTTCCTTTATAAGGAAACATTTGGCATTCATTGAGCTAGCAGTCGGTGCTACTTTCAGTTGAAATTTATAAAATCTTTCTCTTCAAACAATTTTTCAGAATAGTTTTTTCAAGTTCAGTAACTGTTATTACTCTTTCCAGTATTGATGTGGGCTTTCTTCTAAACCTTTTGTTTGAAGTAGTGTTGAATGGTAACATCTTTTATGTCATTATTTTCTCTTAGAGTTCAATGTGTTGTCCATTTTAGTTGTAAGTATATATTACATAGCAGAAAATATGACAGAAATGAAAAATTGCAAAAAGATAGCTAAAAAAAAAACTAATTGCATTGAAATGGTTCTCAGTGTTTGAATATTAAATATTAATTTTGTTTATTTCTTTTTATTTCAGCATAGCCACAGCTGCTGATATGGAACTGAAAAGAATCATGGGGTTTGTAATTTTAATTATCTTTTTCTCCTATATAATTCTTTAAAAAAAACCAAGCATTTTCTTACTCCACATAACAATCCTTGAATTATTCATCATGAAATGAATTACATTAATCCATTCACCATAAAATCTGATATATATTATAGAAATTAAAATAAAAAATCTACTATTATGGGTTTCTTAAAAAAAGAATCCAGTATTATAGGTTTATAAGAAGTTCAGTATTAATTATAATTTCTAACCTTTAATCTATTAATGGCCACCATCCCTCCAAAATGGTTTGCTGGGCATTAATAAGTTAATATAACTACTAGATCAGGTCTAGTAAATATCTCATTCAAAAAGTTGGTCATTTAATGCTTATATTCTTCAGGAAAATGTATGCAAAATATTAATCTCAGAGGTGTGCCTTGAAGGTGGAAAGGGTATATTTTGACTCCTTTCACAGAAGAATTTGTACTAGCCCACTCTTGGTCAGTTGGTATTAGTTTAAAAAAGTAATGCTCTTTCACAGGTCAACAAGTTAATGAAAATCGTCAAAGTAACTTGAATGTTTAAAAGTGGAATTTGATGATTTTTTTTTTTTTAGCCTAAAATTAGTTTTGCCTATCACCTTGCAGACAAGATGATCAAATTTCAAATTTAAATTGTCTATTTAAAATATATTACTCTTATTAGAAAATATATGCAGTTTAAATACAGAAGAAGTAATAAAAATAACTCTAAATAACTGGCTTATACTCCTTTCCTGTTGCTCATTGGTTGTTGCCAGACAGAAATTAGCACTCATTATACAGATGTTCATTAGATTGTGTGTGTATGTATGTTTGTGCATTTATATTTTTAATTCAATAACAGACTGAAAAATATTTCTACAAAATTAAAAACAAAATCTTTTCATTACAAAATAATTCCTGAAAATTTCAATGGAAATTTTATAATTATTTGAGTTTTCCAGTGTTTAAAAACAATTTTTGTTAGGGTCTCCAGCTTTATAATTTTGTTGCTCAGCCCAGAACAGGGTTTATCCTGAGTAAGAGGGTAATGTCTATTTCAAACTCAGTCAAATTGTGTGTATGTGTGTATACATTAAATGGCACAGAGTTGTAAGTCACTCACACATAACACAGGCATCTACATATATATGACTTACATGCATGCAAAATCACACAGTGTGTGATAGATAATCAACTCTTAGACTTGTCTGAGAAAATTTCAGCAAACTTGCATTGAAAATTGAAAAGAAACAGAATTTCCTTGGTGGGAAATTAATGCAAAGATTATTGACAGAATAGTTATTACATGCATAATTTGGGCAGTACTTATAAATATTTGAACTTTTAAGATGAAATATTTATCATTTTCCACTGGTCAGGTTGTCATTTTTCAATTCATGATCTTTATTAATAACATTGGAATTACAATTTGATTTTAAAGATGAAACAAGTACTAGTCAATAATAATAATTGACAATACTTTAATAATAATAATAATAAAGATAATATTGCTATTAATGCTTTCAAAGATGTTAATGTCAAGCATTCAGAGACAATAAGGCTATGGTTAGATTTTATATTTAGCAAGCACAAACAATAAAGTAGATGTCACAGTAAAAACCGGCTTCCCTAGGAAAACAGACAACAAAATCTCACTGAAAGCCTATTCTTTATTTCTGATCCACACTTTATTAATTGCTATAGAATAATGGTCTAAGTACTTACAATAAAATATCTCATAATTTAAAAATGAGAGAAATACTAGTCAAAAATTAAAAATAATTGACAATGTATCCTTTAATAAAAAGTAAAATTAATTTTGGATAAGCATTTCATCTTGTATCTATTTTGTTGCTATTATATCTTCTCAATTGATATATTTTTATAATATTTTCTTTTATTTATTGACCCTCTAATTTTCTATCTTTAAGCATTATGTGCAAAGAGGGTGATGAGTGAAAGTCTGTCTGACCTCAGGACTAAACTGTGAAAGTTCTTTGCATCTCCAAGACCAAAGTATTGAATGGTTTTCTAATGGTTCCTATATTGTTTCTTTGTTCTCTTTTATAGAAGTATTGATTGGAATGCTCCTGCCATAATCAATAAGCTTTACAGTATATTTCTTGGAACAATTGTCATCAAAGGCAAGGTGAGTCAATAAATCTAATATATTGCTATTATGTGGCAGACCAATTGTGACGTACATAAATGCACAATTTCTTTCAAAATGTTAACTTATTTCAGAGAAACAAATAAGTAATGTGTTGTGCTATGTTGGTTCTCTTTAAAGAAAAGATTTCATCCAAAACCACTTTTGATTGATATGCATTTGGCAGGAGAACCTAGCATTGAACTGCATAAAATACAGTTTCATGATAATTGTCTAAGTTTATCTTTTAATTCTGTTTTCTTTGCAAATGTTGAATTTTATGGAAAATTGATTCCACAGACTTTAGAATGTTGGTAATAGACTTATGCATTTATTTTTTTTATATTGTTCCAGAAATTTTAGATCAGAATCAAAAGTTAAAATAAGGCTGATGGTTACATTATGTGAATGTAAAATTTCAGGTTTTATTTACTTGTATCAATGAAATAACAACTATATACAATAGTTCTACTTGCTTGCAGCTTTCTTTTCTCATAAAGAGTCAGCATATGTGTATAATCAATTCTGTTTGTTTAGAATGTTTTTTTGAGGTTTATTTACACCTCATGTCTTTTGTGGTTGAAACCATTAAGTGACCAAAGATTATCTAAGTCCAGGGTTTCTTAGCTTCTAAAAATTTATTTAATAAAAGATGGAAGATTATAAAAGAAATAGATGTTAACATGGAGAAAACCCCATATGAACTTAGTTTTTATAAAGTTGATGTAATAGTTTCCTTTTCATGAGATAGATTTTGTATTGAAACGAGAATTTACATTGTACAATAAAATGATAGTCAAGCTATTTTACCAGAAAACAGAAACAGAGGGTTTGACAGTGACAAAATTATATTCACAGCATTAAAAGATATGACAGGCAACACAAATAGATAATAATTGTCATTGCACATATTGAACTTAAAAAATAACCTGGGTTGTAGTAGTAGTAGTAACTATTTCTTCTTACTAGATAAAGGAATATTCATTTGCTTTCTTGTATATAGATGATCAATATGAAATTTGATCTCATTTATGCATGAAAGAAAAGTGATATAGATATTTTTGCTTGAACTGTTTATGTGTTTATATTATTGATTTTTTTTGCTTAACATCACATTCACAAGCATATTTCTGTTTTATTAGTTTTCCTGCTTATATTCTTTAATTTTGAAAAGTCATTATTCCAAGAATTGTTCTAACTATTGATCTCATTTTTATTGTTACCACAACATTTCAGCCAAAATCTATTCTGGAGTTTTTTTTTTGTTGTAGAATCAGCATGGGAAGAGGTGGAGAGTTTTTTTTCCCCCCTACCCCCAAGTAAAACAAATAAAATAAAATGGTGGCAAATATATTGATTTGACTAATCCATTATGCTAAACATCACATCAATGTGTGTAATGCAGGCATTTCCATATTTTATATACAGTGTCACTTAGAAAAGAAAGGATTGGAATAACTTCACATAAAATATGTTACCATGAAGTTGTGTTTTATGGTTTAGTCTGATTAGTATGTGTTTTAACCTAGGGAAGGTTACTGAATAGAATAATCACACAAAGGTTGATAAGGAACAATAATACTTAGGACAAGAACAACACATATAAGATTCACCAGCTGCATGTAGAAGTAATAGTCAACTGCTAGAAGCAAGTCAAGTGAATTCCACAATAAATATCCAACTCTAGACCAACATACATTATTGACTACTGTATTTATATGAATGGGGACATACCCATTAGTCTATGTAGGTATGCTAAAGCAATATGTCTGCTATGATTTTCTGATATCCTCTTCTGAGAGAGAAAAAACTCCAACTTTTTCCATAAGAATTGTACACTTGTGTAAGGCTGTAGAATGTATTTTTTTAAATCATTTCACATCCAAACAAAGCAATAAAGCCACTAAGATGCAAAGGTTTACTGTGAATGAGAAAGAGTAAACATTATTCAGGAGAGAGAACAATAAAAACGAACAGGAATTAAGAAGACAGAAGATAACAATTGACATTGCATTTAAATTTTTGAACATCAAAGTTGACTGGGAAGCAAGGAGCCGGAAGAGTTTCACAAATGAGAAATGTAGTAGAAGAAATTGTTAGAATAGAACTTATGATTACATCTAGCCATTTCAACTGTAAAATGATGAGACCTTGCCACCAATCCATTATTGCACTTAAATTCATAAAGTCCAAGTAATATATTGTTCATCAGAACAATTACCATGAAATTATTTCTAGAAAAGGTACAAGGTGGTGGAGAAGTAACTGAATCCAAGATGCCAATTCAGGACCAGTAACATTGTAGATTCTTCTTTGGATTTTATCAAGAATTTTTAAATATATGGCAGGAGTACCTGCCCATATGTGGCAGCAATATATAAAGCATGTGCAAATGGTAAACTTATAAATATATAAGATAGATTCAGGCAAGAAATATTGTCTAGGACAATGCAGCAATTTTTTTTTCTTTGCTGAAATTATCAGAAATTTTGAATTGGGAAAATTCATGACTATAATTTTCACACCCAGAAAATTGAAAAAGCATCTTCATTACCATTCAGACTGTGACACTATTTAGGGTTGCATGAAAAAAAAAAAAAGGCGAGAATTAAATTAGGTATCACGAAAAGACATTAAGCGATGTTATTTTTTCTAACAAAGAAAAGTGGTAAAGATTTTATTTTCATTTGTGAAAAGAAAAGTATCCTTTTTCTCACACAGAAGATAGGAGATTCGTAAGATACAGGATCTGTCGAATTAATTTATGTTACGGCACGGCAAAAGAAGATAGCAATCTGTCCATGGCAATAATGAAAATTTCAAATTGGTCAAGTGGCCTACAGGACAGAATGCTAAGAGATAATATTAATTAGGTCATGCACTGACTGAGAAAAATGTCCGCTGGACCACCCACAAGTTACAAAGAAGGAAAGATTAAACCATTAACTATCTGCGGAGATGTCATTTGGAAAAAAAACACCTGTTTTATGTCAGAGCTGGCCATGATAGAAAAATTATTTTATCGGAATGGATAATTGGATACAGAGTGCCAATACATCCAGTTAACCACCCACTTGACGCTGTCGAAAATCTCGATTGATAAAGTCCAGGTGACATTCTGTTAAGATAGAGATTAGAGACCATCCTATGAGTCATGTGAGGTCTGCTCGTGGAAGAGAAGGAAAAAGAAAAAAAAAAAAAAGAAGGAAGATAATTTTTTTTTTTTTTCCTTTGAGCAATAATTGCAAACACCTACACTGCTGAGTGTTCATTGGCTGAGGGGTGGCGTGAGCAGTAGGCGAAGGTAAACTATGAAGAAGGAGGGGAGGTCTGTTGACGTCCCCTGAAGGGATTGGTGTGAGATGCCACTGTGAGAGAGAGGGGAAGCTGTTGACGCCCTCTGAGGGGATTGCTGTGAGATACCAATATGAGAAAGGAAGAATTTGGGAGGATGATTCCCTTAAAGTAGAAAGTAAGGACTTCCAAAAATGGAATGTAATAAATTTTCCTGACCGAAAACAAAGAAGATCCTTATTGTGGATTTAGAATTATCAAGGAACCTCAAACCCTGACAAGCCCACCCCGGTTTTGGTCGGCGTCCATATAAGCAGAGTCGCAGCAAGTGGACGGCAGTTAGAGTTGAGTTGGGGTTGAAGACAGGCAAGCAGTTGAGTTGAAGTTGGAGAGAGAGATGCAGAATTGAGCTGTGAGCTCTGAGACCCGCCTCGCAGAAAGCTGACTGAGATCCCACGCAATCACGACCTCAACTTCTAACGAAGAACAATTTATTTTTGAAGAACGACTTAGACTCACACCACCAAAACAAGTTTTACGAATATCGCCTGAAGATACACCAAAAACCAGTTTCTTAAAGAAAAAAAACAAACTTGAGATGTTAAGACTCGCCTAACAAACGCAAAGTGTCACGTATCCATATAAGTGGGTTGGGAGAAAGACACAGTCCTGTATTCAGCAACCAGATATAAAATATTGTTATTCTTTTTTAACACATTTGAACTTTTCGAGTTGTTACTTTATTTTCTTTTACATATACTTGTGCGGTATTGCCCTTGTTCGAACTCGACTTGCATTGCGGCCCGGCGACTGATTGATTTTGTCTGCCTAACATCAAATCACAACGTGGGTAGGTTAGACTAGAAATCAAAGCAGTTACTTCGGTAACCAGATGTTGGAGGCAAGCTGGGAACGACAAGGCTGATACCGAATCTAACCAGATTCCCATCCGAATCAGCAAAGGCTTAGAACGTCACATTTGGTGCCGTGACCAATACCAAGTCACATTGGTCATCACAGGACAGGACAGGACAGCAACGGGGCAGACAGCACAAGACCATTATTTAATTAACATTTTTTAAACATTTAAAAATAATCTTTAACTGCTTCCCCTAATAACATAGCCTACTAGTAGATATGAATGCTCTACATATAGATAATGTTCCTATATTATTACAAATGGTTAGACTATTAGTATGCAATAATTGTTACCAAAATTTACCCTTTGTAAATAACATATATTCTTCTGTTATGTGCTATGTCTCTTCAGATCATGGACAATCATAGCTCTCCACAATTTATAATTTGTAGCTCTAAGTAATGTTTATCTCCTTACTAACTCTCCTAGTGCATCTTTTTTCCTCTATTTAACAAGTTCATCTTAGTGGCTTTATTACCTTGTGTAGAGTGAAATGATTAAAAAAAAACAAAAAAACTAAGCAGTTGAATTTTCTTGCCTGCATTAATTTTTCTTTGTGATTTAAATATTTATAGCCTTTTGAAAAATTTAAATTTTAATTCTCTAAAATTTTAGATGAAAAATTAGGGTTCAATTTATTAAGTACTACTTTTGGAAGTGTTCATTGTTTGTGCATTATGTGTCTCTATAACACACAACATGTTGAAATGAATTGTTTCTATCTATAGATTTCCAGCTATGAGTAAGGATTTCATTTTGATTAAACTCAAGAATTTTATCTTACAAATATTTTTTTTTCCACTCAATACAAAGCTCAAAAAGGTAGAGGGTTACTGAATGATGATGATGATGTAGGAACATAAGAGGAAGAGGAGGTAACAAGTGCAGATTGTGAGGATATGTAGGAAAAATAATGGTTGACTCTTGACTTGAAGAGGCTAAGATTGTAGCAATCAGATAAACAGCATCTCAGGAGTCTGTTCCACAAAGTAGTGGTTCTTAGGAAGACGCTGTCTGAATTGAACTTCCTTCTTAGCAATGGGATACAAAAGGAATGAGGATGATTGATCTCCATATATGTATCATGGTGGGTCTTAGCTGTAAGGGTCTGATTGGTTGGTTTTATTTAATGCCATATCAATCTCTATGGGTTATTTAATGCAGAAATCTAAATATTTTATATTGTGTATGATTTCAACTACATATATCTTGTACATAATTTTATACTTTCAGAGTGAAAATATGTTTTTTAGATATATAGTTTGTAGATCATAAAATGTATTGTTAGAAATTTTACTATAAAAATGTATTTTTATATTTTTATGAGGGTTGCATTGATTGTCATTTGGCTATAAAAATGTATTGTTGGTCATTTTATTATAAAAATGTGCTGTTGATTTTTATTTGGGAGTTCACTATTTGCCTATAGCTGGGACCCTAACAGGTTCTACCACTTCTGGTCAGGGTAGGCCTAGGAACAACAGCAGTTAAGAGGTGGTTCCATGCTTTTCAAAACCTCCAATCTCCCAATCAGAGGTCTTTGCCGGCTGTAGTTCATAATCATGCCTAGGGTGAGTAAGGTTCTGAATTGCTGGCACTAATGAATGTAGCTCAGAACATTTTCTATGGAAATTGCAATAGAGTAGTGAGAGGCTTGCAAAGTATTATAACAATGGAAGAAAAGTTAGCAGGTTAATAATTTAAGAAAAAGTACCAATGTCATCATTTGATATAAGTGCATATTTGCTGTTATTGTTGCTTAAAGAACTGTTGAATATCTAAAAAGATACATTTTAGTATTAGAATGTTGAACAAATATTTTTGTTGGGTGCTACATAAATCAATTTTTTAATTTTATTTTCATCTTTTGTTTTTCTTTTTTATGAATCATACCTGTCATCTTAAAAATTAGAGACCAGCTTACATAAGTACCCACCTATAAAAGAAAGAACCGATGAATTATTAAGTAGCAGACAGAGATATTGATAAAAAATACATAGATTAAATTGATGAAAACAGTTTTGAAAATTCTCTTGTAGCATCTGATATGAAAACATTTTTTTTACTCCGTGCAGGCAGTAGAAATAAACAGATTAAGTAATGAAATTCAAAATTAATTTAATGTATTGTCTGTCTACTTCTTTCTGAATATGCTCATTTTTTTGTGTGGCAAACTAATCCCTATTGCAGATGCCATCTCTGGAATATTTTTTCTTCAACATCAATTGTCATGTAAGCAATAACTTTTACAATGCTGGGCAAAAGATATGCATTAAGTTCAGTGTAAATGAGCAGTCTGTACACATCTTTTCCTTATGGACCTTTGAGTCATCTTTTACAACACACATGGAGCCAACCTGCAGTTTATAATGAAACTATACTGTGAAAGCCTTAACTTCTGGGGAAAAGGTGCATGATCTAGTGTGATCAGCAGTTGAATGAGGTCAATTGGCTCGAACTCTCAATCATGATGACTTGTGACTTTGAGCTATCACAGCCATTGATGGCTTCCAAACAGTTTCATCTATCCAATTTCATTCTCAGGGCTTGGGTCAACTCATGGTATGGTTTCCAGGCACATCCTATCAGTGCCACATGCTGGAATAATCTCTTCAGATCAATGTTATCAAGAAGTCACTAAATCAACCATGGTGAAATTTGAACAAGTGTCTTACGGTTTGAACACTAATATTCTAACAACTCACCACTATGGCAATATACATTTATATACAGTTATTAGCATAGAAAATGGAATTGGTGAGCAGAGTTCAAACTCCAACCTAGTCTGTTGCATTAACTTTTGCAAAAATGCCATTGGAGAAGGCATGAAACAATTTCCTCTGAAGCTGTTTTTTAAATAGCAAAGCACACTGTGTACTTGAGCCTTAGTTGGCAGTTAGTCTTGAAGGATACCAACTACAAAACTGTGGAGAAAGCAATGGATAGCCACTCCAGTGTCTTTCTCAAGAAGTCTTGTCATTTCACATATAATAAAGAAAATGAATCCACAGAGAGCTATGATCACTTACATCCAGAAGGGAAATGGCAATTAAAAGAAAAAGAAGATTTCTGTATGAGTTTTCAGATGCTTAAGAAAAACTCTACCAACCCTGGTGAATAATCAACTCAAGATTATAACAGTTATACAATAATGAGAAGATATATTAATGATGATGCCAAACGAAATGATAAATTATACCAAAATCAATATATAACATTTATAGAAAGTGCAATGGGTAAATTTTTACCATTTTTAATTTTAATTTTGGACATTTGCTTTGTTTGTTTTCTTATTTTGTTGACTGCACAGTATAGTAGGGTCAGTTAGGCACTGTCTGTGAGAAAAAGAGCACTATAACATAATTCACTCCACCAGAAATTTGGAAACTGCATGCTGTATTCCTTGGCATTCGTGCTGGAAGCTCTAATATGAACATTTTAGAATGTTTGGGTGTCAATCTGAGAACAGTGCAGAGGATTCAGAAAGAGTTGGATGAGTGTAATGGTGATTATGAAGGTATGGCAACTCGGAAAACTCACTCTGATTGTTCTGATAAGAAAACTCCCAAATTTGTTCGTTAGGGCCTCAAACTCAACATGAATGCCTATATCGAATGCCTTAAGGAGGTAGTGCTGCCCTCGGTCAAGAGAGTGGCTGCTGGAACACCCTATATCTGGCTACAGGTCCCTGCACCACACCATGCCACACAAGCAGGAGAACCCAGTCATGGCTGTCAGACAATTTCTGCAACCACATCACTCTTTACATCTGGCCATCTAACTCCCCAGACTGCAACCTCCTTGATTATTATGTGTGGGGCACAGTTGAATCAGAGACCGAAAAACTCCTTGTAACACCAAAGATGAAGGCAATGATTATGGCTGCATTCACCAACTTAAACAAGGAGACTGTCCAGAAGAGTTGCAGGAGACTTCAAAGTTGTCTGGATTCTGTAGTTGAAGCCAATGGTGATTTTACTTTTTAGTATTTAAAGATATTTTTGTGTAATTTTGGTTAATATATATGTTAAAATGAGATGTCAGTATTATTTTCATTTTTGTGTAATTTAGACAACAATTTATCCATCTCACCCTGTAGTTGTACAATGTTTATCAAACATAGTAGTGGATTATTTCAAAGTTGTTTGGTCAAAATTACCAGGAAATGGTCAGATATTTTAAAGTTAACAGAAACAAATGTTTATTTCAAATGGAACAAAAAAAGACTGTCAGAAAATCATAGTAACTGTTAGATTTTTAGCAGAGAGTGTGTATAACATGGTGATATTTAAGGTTTCATCAACAAAAAACAAACATATTTCATTCTGGGGATGAGTATATCAAATAGGAATGTTTAGTAGGTATTCATCTAGTATCGGTAATCTCAACACATTGTGAAAGGATTTTTTTTTTAAAGTATACGTGTACCTCCTTCTATATGCCATGTCTCTTCAAGATGTGAGCAATCATGGCTTTCCACAATTTCCTGTCCTTTTTAGCTCTTAGTAAATTTTGTCTTTTTGATATTTCTCCTAATCCCTTTTCTATCAACCATTTACACAAGCTTGTTAGGTTGGTTATTTGCTGCTTTCCACTGTCCCTCTTTCCTTCAATATGCCCCGTTCTTCAAGCCCTCTTTCCTCATTATGTGCCCTAGAAATTTCAAATCTCTTTCTAATTCTAAATGTAAATGTCATTTTTGGTTCCACTTTCCTTAAAAATTTGTCATCATTCATCTGTTCAGTCCATGGGATCCTCAGCACTTAAAAGCTGAATAGTGTATTTTTAGTTATTAAAATCTATTTATCTTCAGCTCCCAGTATACATATCTCACTTTTATGGCATTTCTTAATCACATTCTCCCATCTTTGTTTCTTAAAAATGTCCTCCATTTATAATTGTGTTATGTACTGAAAGCTTACTTCTCTTCTATTTGCTATAAACTTATTTCCAGTCAAGTGCATTATGAAAAGTCTCTTTTACAATTCTCTTATTTTTAAATAATTTGCTGAAAAAAAAAAAAAGAAAATCTTTGTGAGTTTTAATTTTACAATGAAACTGTTTTGTTCACTAAATAGGAGAGCAGTGTGAAACCAGAAAGTAGAAAAACTCCTGCAAGTACAAGAATACGTTTAAAATTATTTCCCTACTTCTTGAAATCCAGGGAAGCCACCAACATCTTTCCAGCTTGTATCCAGGTAAGTGTTTTCAGTATAAAACTATTATAATCACTTATTCTGCAGAGAACCTACTCTTGTTTATTTTAATTATTATTTGAGATGCATACAAATAATTTATTTTGCACATCTTATACATTAAATGCTTAAGTAACTAAAGCTAATTTGAAATTGATATAAATATTGGCAACATTTAATATTTTGACAATATTAGCAAATTCATTGCACCATCAGTTTCAACTGAAAGAATTTTGTTATAATTATTTTTTCTAGCTTTTTTGTGTTGCCTTACATTTTGAATAATAAATAAATATAATATAATTTAAAATCAGTTTTTTTGTATCCTTTATATATTAAGAATAAAATCAATTGCTAAAACCAATATATATTGTCATAAATAATTAATATTTGATTCGGCAATGTTTAACCGTTGTGTCTGAAAAAAAAAAGGTGCATCAAAAGGATGCTTTTTCCCTTGATACTGCTATTATTTTAACTACCTTCACTCCTTGGAAATGTTTATTGTTTTAAATAATGGTGATTAGAATTTTAATAAAACTGAAACATATGAAAGTGAATTTTTACAATTTCCTTCTTGAGAATTTATAACAAAAATGTTAGACACTATTAGATTGTTTATTTATGCTATTTATTAGACTATATATTGGAATGGTTGGCAAAACATTGGCTAATTGCCAATCAATTCAAACTTTATAAAATGGTAAATAATAAGGAATTCATTATAGTTGGTTTGCATTTATAATTTAGTAAATGTTTATAAATTTATGAATAAAAAATTGTTTTCATATTTATTTCTTTGTAAATTTGTAAATGATAAATATTGCATTGCATTAGTTTTAATATAATTGTATCAGTTTTTAGAATATTGTAAATATAAAATTATTCTTGTAAATAAACAATCTAATAACTAAGTACTGTTCAATATTTTTATTGTAAATTCTCAAGAACAAAGAAAATGTATAGATTCACTTTCATCATATGTTTAAGTTTTATTACAATTCTAATCATCACTTTTTAAAACATTACTGATGAGTGAAGGTAGTTAAAATAATAGGTGTTAAGAGAAAAACCTTCCTTTTGACACATTATTATGGACATAAAGGTTAACCATTGCTTTTGATTCTATATACTGACAATTCTCTTGAAATATATTGAACCTTTATTGTCCTTCAGGTGATATTTGATTGCCTTTTTGGTGCAAGTAACCATGCGCGCCTCAAAGTAATGGCAGTCCAACTTGTCCATCATGTGTGTCTGAGGTAAGATTACAAATATACATAACCTTAGTATTAGTTTTTAGATATTTAGTTAGGAAAATCTGAAAATGAAAAAAGTAAATGGAATAAAATTGATTCTGACATGAGTGCAAAGCAAAAGTTTTTCTAATTTCAATGGTGTCTCATTTCTAAAATTTAGAAACTTGTGTTATATGCTTTTCAGGTGTCTATCTTTGTATATGGTAAGCTTAAAATTTTGAACTGATTCCTTTATTAAATTCATAGAAGTAGATTGTTCTTATTCTGTTTTCTATGCTTACTGTTACAAAATATCTGTTAAGCACAAAAAACAGATTGAATAAAGTGTTTGCTTTGAAATTCCAAGAAGGTTACTGAGTACAAAGGCAGGCACAAAGAGCCAAACAGTATAATGGCCAAGATGCACATGCTGGTCTGAAAAGCAAACCATATAACAATGATAATTCCTCAACTTGAAAATTCTAACAAACTTGTTTGCTCACTGCCCCCTCTCTCTTGATCATTCTGTCTGATGCTGTTATTAAATTGTCTTTTTCATAGTTGTTCCGATACCAAATTTAATCCAATCAGCCCTGTCTTACTCTCTGGAATGGTTAAACTACTTGGAATGGCCAAAGAGGTAAGTAATTATTTTTTACTTATTGAGTTTATTACTGTTGATAATGGATGTAGGTATAAGATGGGTTGATACATATTTTATTTTTTTTTAAATACCAGCATAAATCTTAATTTTTAAAGAAAAAAAGAATCAACTATTCTTCTCATAGTTCATCTAGACCTTCTGATAGAAATAGTATTTCTTGTTTGTTTGAGTTAGAGACCAAAAAAATGCAGCCTATATTTGAATTTACATGTTAAATTTAAAATTCTCAACATCCTCTCCTTTGTGCACATATATAGTCACATCAATGTAAACATCACTTTAGTCTAAAGTTCTAAAGGACAAAACATGTCACATTTTTATGAAAACTTTTTCTGCTTTGTCATAGTTTACCAAAAATTGTTCTATTTATAAAGAAAAAGAAATATAAAAAATTAGTGCTTCAATAGAAATACTCTAAGACTTATTAAGTTATAATTAATACTGTAAGAATAGTTGTAGTTGACAGATGGCACACAAGTCAATATCTGATTACTATCGACTAGGTCACCATAGAGAAGAGGTATGATGTTGTAAGACCTGAATCCCCTAATGCTCCTTAGCTAAAATTATTACATATGATGTATGTCAAAGCATCAGACATATATTTCACAAAAAGTATAAAATATGAAAAGGATGTGAAGCAAGATTTTAGATCATGTGAGTTAATGATAATTTTGTTTAATGTCAGGATTTATTTGAATTCAACCAGGCATTTGTGCTCTTGTTTTTTTAAAAAAACATTTTCCTTTTCTGACCATATGTTTTTTCTCTATTGGAAATTTTTATAATTCATTTAGCATATTATTAATTTTGATAATCACTTGTAGCTATCTGGTCAGTTTTATTAAATTCAAATAATTTTTTAAAAATTTTATCCATTTATTTTATATTATTTATTATTGCTGAATGTGTAACAAGTCCACATTTATACACCTTTTTTTTTAAAAAAGGATTTTTTTAACAATAGCACTAAAGATTTAGGTAAAGTTTACTTTGATTCAAAGAGGCTCTAAATTTTTCAATTTCTGATAATCTTTTTAAAGGAACTTATTGATTAAAGGGAATTGTTATTTCTTAGATTGTAGGATTACTGCAATTCATCAATAGCTATCCATTTTGAACTTTGGTAGTTGTCCTCTTAATCATAATACCATCACCTTACATTGTAAGGTTTTAATAATTCTTTTTTCATTATTTTAGTGGACATTTCATATCAAAATAAGTAAAATTTATTTTCTCAGTACCTGTTTGTTCTTTTCATTCTTTTTTTTTTTTACTGTCATTAGATTTTTATTTTTTTTCTTTGTTATAGGATGACAAACTCCGTGGGCTTACTTATGTTGCAATTGGTAAAATTGTAAAACGTAGCCCGAGTCTGATCTCTAAAGATATATCACTGGTGCAAAATTTTTTTGATGCTGTTTGTAAGGTGAGTTGATTTATTTCCTGAATATTTTCAGAACTGTCTCAAATTGAAATATTAAAATCTGTAACTTCTTTTTGTAGTCGTCAGAGTTCAAAAAGTACAACTACATCATTTTAAATTAGGCTGTCTACAAATTTTATGCAGTGTTTTTTTTTTTTTATTAGATGATATTAGGAGCATTTAGTTTTAACTAAAACCATTCACATTGATCACATTGTGACAGTTGTAATATCAACAAGCAATTTTTTTTTGTTATTGATTCAAACTGAAGATGAAAAAAATGAAATAAATTTTAAGCATATTTTCTTTTTTATTTTAAAAAAAAGTTTCATCTTTTGATCACATTGTGACAGTTGTAATATCAACAAGCAATTTTTTTTGTTCTTGATTCAAACACTGAAGATGAAAAAAATGAAATAAATTTAAGCATATTTTCTTTTTTATTTTAAAAAAAAGTTTCAAATTTAATAAAAAACATGGGAGGGAGCTAAATCAAGCTTTGAAAATAATGTTCAAGTAGGTTATTGGGGCATAAAATGCAGTTGGTGAACCAAGTTCAAATTTCGGCCAAGTCTCTTACATTCATTTTGCTCTAATACCATTTGGAAAGGCATGAATCCATTTTTTCTCTTCTTTCCCTCAGCAACGTAGACCGTGTCTTCTAACCTCCTGGGACTGATAGTCTAAGAGAATACCAACTCTGAATTCAAAACTATGGGGAAGGCACTGCCATATTTTTCCTGATAAATTATGGTAATTCATAGATAATAAGGAAAAGGAATCTGCAGAAACCCATGTTTGCCTACTTCATGAGCGGATATGACATTAAAAACATTTTAAAAAGCCAAAAACTTTACTGGCTTGTATTTCATTGTGTCATATACAACTTAAATGTTATTTTTGAAACTCATTGCAACAAATAATGAAAAGTGAATACTTTACAATAATATGGAATGCAAGAGATCATGAGGAAAGCAAAAATGAATCGGTAAAATTACCAAGCAAAAGCCATCTTAAAATAACATTTTTACTTTACAATATATGTAGAACCTAGAAGAATTAATTTCAAGGTATGGGTTGTGCCAAGTCATGTTTATTTGTTTGGTTTGTTTTGTTTTATGGCATATCAACCTCAATGGGTTATTTAATGCCGACAATTTTTATTGCTGGTAATAATTTTTTTTACAAAGTATTTCTGGTTTGCTTTGGTTTGTTTTACAGTATATCAACCACAACAGGTTATTTAATGCTGAGAATTTTTATTGCTGGTAATATTTTTCTTCATAAATATATTGCTGGTAATTTTTTTTATTTCCTTCAAAAATGTATTGCTGGTAATATTTTCCCTCTAAAATTTATCGCTGGTATTATTTTTTCAAAAAAATGTATAGCTGGTAATTTTTTTTTTTTAAATGTTTTGTTTCGTTTTATGGCACATCAACCTCAATGGATTATTTAATGCCAACAAGATTTTTATTGCTGGCAATATTTTTTTTTTTTTTTTTAAATGTATTGCTGGTAATAATTTTTTTTCAAAAATTTATTGCTGGTATTAATTTTTTACAAAGTATTTCTGGTATCAAAACCTATTTTTACACTTTCATAGTGTTTTAACCCCAGTTTTGGGGTTAACTATTTACCCATAGCTGGGACCCTAACAGGTGCTGCCACCCGGGGTCAAGGTGGACCTGGGAACACCAGCAATTAAGAGGTTGTTCCATGCTCCTCAAAACCTCCTGATCAGAGGTCTTGCTGTTGGACGTAGTTTATTGTCATATCCAGGACAGAAGTCATGATTGGTGCTAAAAATGAAATTGTACAGACAACAGCCATTCAAAAAATATTCAGTTTTGGTTTTGGGATAAAATATCGTATACCAGTAATTGAAAATACTTTTAAAATAATTTATATTTATTTACATTTTTTTTCCAGGAAGATTCCGAGCGTCGTCTTGCTGTACAAGAAGCATTGAGTCTAATGGCTGAACCATTTCGGAGTCAAGATGAAACTAACAAGAAACTGATGGAAGCACTGATTATGGAAAACATTGACAAGGTAAGAGATTTATAATTATCATTACAATCATTGGAGTCAAGTTATTGCTGTTGAAATGTTCAAGATGTTCTTAGAAAAGGCTTTTGCTTAAATAATGGTCAAGTTTCAGCTGTGAATTTTAAAAGCTGATTAATATTTTTTTAGAATTATATATTTTGAAAAACATCTGTTAGTCCCTAATTTTTAAATTGTATAAAACTCACATCATTTATCAAGACAGTATTCACAGTGGAGAAAAGTGGAGAAAAGTACCATATTTCCCACCATATGGCAGTGAATGCTGGACAAGATGAAGGGAGTTGAGGCAACAAAAATGTGGTTCTACAGAAGGATGCTGGGGATAATATGAACTGAACATGTGAGCAGCAACAAAGTTTTAGGGACAAACAATAACAAAAAGGACACCTAATTAGAATCAGAAAGCAAGAGTTGAAAGGCATGTAATGAGCAAAGAGGGTTTGGAAAATTTAACACTCACAGGACATATTGAAGAGAGACAAAGAAAAGCAGTTCATAACCTACCTAACAAACTTGTATAAATGGTTGGCAGAACAGGGATTAGGAGGGATAACAAAAGACAGAATTTATTAAGAGCTACAAAGTACAGGAAATTGTGGAGAACCATGATTGTCCACATCCTGAAGAGACATGGTACTTTAAAAAAATCCTTTCACCATGTTGAGATTACTATCCTATCTGATATACACATTGCCTGAATGAAATATGTTTTTTACCATGTCTCTTCAAGACCTAAGTAATTATGGCTCTTCTTTATCGAGTTCTTTTCTTTATTGTCTGTGAATTGCCATCATAGTAACACATGATGCTATTTTTTTTCTTTACTCCAAATCAATCAAACTTAACCCAATGATTTGAAGTAATATTTCAAGTTCAAAGCAAGACAAACTGTTTGATAATCAAAACACTGTAAAATCCAAGGGGGATGCAGAAGGAAATGTTGCAATCAAGAATCGTACATCCAATATCAAGAAATCTCAGCACACATCTCTCTGCTACGCCATTCAAACTGTCCTATTCAAAAAATCTGTCCTGAAAAATTGTGCTCTTCGTTTATAAAGGATAACTTGGACCGATTTTAAACTTAATTCATTTAAAATCGGTCCAACACCCTTTATCAGTTACATGCATGCAAATCCCCAACAGTTTTTTTTTTTAAGTCTTTGTCTTGCACAAGTGCCATGGTGACCATGACTGTCCCTTGATCTTGCTTCACTAGACCCAACCTCCTAGCAGTTAAGTTCAAGCCTTCTATGATTGGCCTCCTATTTATAATTCTAGTGCTTTGACTCTACTGTAATGTATATGAAAAAAATGTACAGGTCAAAATGCTTTTCATTGTACAGAATTTCAATATATGGTTATTTTGCTTTTTACATCTTGGTTCAAAAAGATTTTGATTGAAATTTTTGCACATTAATATTTACTGATTAATTATAATTATGACTTTAAACAAATTTTTTTTACAAGTTTGCTTTTGTGACAATGACATCTTATCCAGAAGATATACAAGATGTTTGTATTGGAGTCTATTGGAGCATTTTCATAACATATGCACCCAGTAGCTGAATATATGGTAAAATAGCCAATCTGGCATCAGTATAAATTATTACAGACATTGTTATTTTACAATCTAAATTTTAATGTCAGCAATTCAATAATCAGTTCAAATTCACCACTGACTACAACTTCTTGTTTAGATATGAAGATAAAGAAGAAAGAATTCTGCTTTTTAAATCATTAAAAATGCACAAAAAAAAATAACGCCATACAAAAGTTAATCTGCAAAATAAAATCAACAATTCCATATATATAAAAAAATATCTTACAGATTATTCTTCATCTGTCATATAGGATACTTGTAAATATTTGTTATATGTTCTCCTTCAGGGCATTGACAACCATGGCTCTCCACAGTTTCCTGTCCTTATTAACTCTTAATAAATTTTATCTTTTTGTTATCTCTCAAACTTTGTTTCACTCAAGCTCACTACGTAGGTTATGCATTGTTTTCCTCTGTCCATCTTGACTTCAATCTGTCCTGTGAGTATCAAATTTTTCAAGCCCTCTTTCCTCATTATGTGCCCTAAAAATTTCAACTCTCTTTCTGATGTTAAGTATAAGTGTCTTTTTTTCCCCATTTTCTCTAAAACTTCATCATTGTTCACATGTTTGGTTCATGGTATTATCAGAAAACTAGAAAAAGCTTCATGTTTATAAAAAAAATATGTGATGGAAATGTGGTTTGCTGTCATTTTTAAAATAGTAGAAGTTAGTATTGTTAAAGTTATTGCTAACATTTTTTGTTGAGATTTACAAATGCTGCATTCTGTTCAATTTCACAAACCAATCAATGAAATTTGAATAAGCTGATTTGTTTGGAAAAATACTTTGACAAAAACCCTACTTTGCATTTTAATAATTTCTTTAATTTAATTTTATAGGACTTCATGGCAAACAATATTTTTTAAGAAAATGTATTTTTTTCTTTTTTAACAGTGAAGAATAAACTAAGATTTCTTACTCTTGAACATGCAACATAACCAGCCATGCATAAATATTTCTTTCTGAAGCCAAATTCCAACTTTTTGAAGTGTTTGGCCTTGTGGTTTGTTTGTAGTTCTTGCCAAGGCAGGGAAAACTGGAAACTGGATTCTTGTATATAAAAACTTAAAGAAAAGATATGCTAAAAACAATATTCCATTTTTATTAAATAAGTATTTGTTATTTTAATCATTAAATTGTTTTTAAAATAGTGGCCATATTTTGTATGTTAAATAATAAACTTTTAATTTTTCCCCCCAAAATTAATTAAAATTTATTGTACTAATCTACGCACCCTAGTAAAAACAACTCTTACTCCTTACCTGTTTGCACTCCTCCCAAAAATTTGATTTCAATCGGTCAATGCATGACTATTTTAGAGGGTGGGACAGATGAACTAACGGAACTCACAGAATTATTTGTATATATATATATATATGGCTGAACAAACTTTTATAGTCTTTTTTTTTCCTTTCTTTCTGCTATCAAAGTATCAAAAAGACATTTCTTTGCTAAAGAAAAGTAAAGATTATTGATGAAAAGATATCAACCTCTTTATTTCCTGTTAAGAGTATTTGAAATTTAATAGTTTCTTTTGATTTCTCAATGAAAACTAATTTATTTTTTTTTTACTGTTGTAGGCAGAATATCAAGCACGTTCAGTTGCTGTTCAATATGCCAAATCTGTGTTCAGCCAAAACCACATTCCTTCAAGATATGTCTTACTGCTTGCCACAGGTGATGTGTAAGTTTTCTTTCTTTCCTTTATTTTCCTCCACTTATGGATGCTGAATTTTCTTTCATTGTACTAAGAACAGCTTCATGGTTAGTGTTTTGGTTATTGAAGTTAAGGTTGCCATTCAATATTTGTTGAAATTCATTAATATTAATAGATGCTTATTGTGAGTGAAGTAGAACTTGGATTTAAGAAGGTGGAAGCTCCTCTACTCCATCATTTAGTAAGTTATCACATGCATTATGCCTTGCCATTACCTCAGATAAATAATGGGCCATTTTCTTTTGCTTGTGTGGAAAGACAAGAAAAATATATATCAGAGACATCATTTGGATTTAATGAGAAAAGGAAAGCATTTATAATAAGAAAGAAATAAATTGAAGATAGAGGAAAATGAAAAACCTTGTCAATTTTTAATCTTGTTATATATACCATTTTTAAATAATGACCTGCATTCATACTTATGATTATACAATATTGTTGTTAAGCTCAAATATTTTACAATGATATTGGGGAATTTCCAGAAGTATGTTATAGTCATGGAACTCACAAGGAGTTTATTCAATCATTAACTTAAGAATTATGACTCGTCAGAAAATTAAAATAGGAAAACCATGACATTTTCTTGCTTACAGCTAGCATGAAATGACATCGATTATCTTTTTATTAAAAAAAAAAATATTTTTTTACCCATTTCACCCCCAAGCAAGGCAGGAATGCCATTAGTACACAGGGGTTACAGAGTGTGAAGGTAAGAGAAAAGACTGAGTATAGGAGGGACCAAGGAAAGGATAAAAGCTGAACAGGATTCAAGAAGATAGATGATAATGATTGATGTTGCATTTAATTTTTTTAAAATTGTAGTTATCAGGAAAGCAAGGAAACAGAAGGTGGTTCCACAGGTGGGAAGTGCAAGAAAAGAAACTGTTGGAGTAGAAGTGGCAGTTACATTTACCTAATTCAACAGTAAAAGGGTGGGACCTAGATGCCAATCTAGTAGCACGCTTAAACACACGTAGTCCAGGTTCCAGGGAAAAAAAAGCTTGTCAGAGCAGTAGCCATGAAAATATTTGTAGAAAAGACAGAGGGAAGCTATGTCATGTCAGTGAGAAAGTGACTGAAGTTGAGATGCTAAGTCAGGATTGACTACAGTGCAGATACTCCTTTGGATTTTGTCAAGAACCTCAAGGTGAGTAGCAGGAGCACCCAACCAGATATGGCAACAGTATTCAATGTGCAGAGGGATGGTAGATTTGTAAATGTGCCAGATGGACTCTGACGAGGAAAGCATTCTGGCACGACACAGTGACCCATGCATGTGGAAATTAGAATTCTTCCTAAGGAGAAGATAGCCAGGAATCAAGAAATCAGGAGAGGATTGAAGAGAGCTAGGATGTCTGGAAACTTTTCAAAGTGGAACAATTTCACTGCAGAAGTTAGTATGAATACCACGAATGTTGGAGAAACAAATGTTGAGGAGATTAGGTGATTTTTGTTTAGATTTATATCTTTGGTATCTTAGAGTCATGGTGTGTTGTTTTGGTAAAGAAAGGCCTAGGGTAGTAGTAGTAGTTGGTCGTCTAATGTAATATGTGCAGGAAGGGAACTTGCACAGACTGCAACATAGTGTAGCCTCTGGGTTGCCCACCAGAGGAGCTTGCAAGGACCCCAAATGTTATACAACTAGTAATCAGAGCAGCCTCTCAATTGACTATGCATGAGTTTGGGCTCCTAACTACCAGTTGGAGACAGCAACCAAAAAACCACCAACTGTTAACCTCAGTATGAAGAGATGTTGCCACCATCCACACAGATCACAAAAGATTCATGACAGCACCACTGAGTAAAAGAAAGAAACCAAGAACCCCTTCTTAAACAAGAAACAAAGTATGAGTCTCTACTCGTGTGCAAGAGAAATGGGAGGAGTATAGACTGAGTAATAGGAAAGCCTATCTTAGAGAAGAAATTGCATTGTTTTATTAAAAGAGGCATAAGTTTTATAATAGTTTTATAGATTCAAAAGAAATGAAATTTTGCAACCTCACTTTTCTTTGTTAGATAGTTACTATATTTATCAGCCAATACAACATGCTCCGCAATTGTTTTTTTGTTTTTATAATTATACCAGACAGTATCTGAACAATCTACCATATTTGTCATGTTATAAAACGCAACTTGTTGGTTTTATTTTGTCTTCTATTTTTTTATTCATTTCACCCCAAACAAGCCAATAAAGCCACTAAGATGCATAGGATTACTGAGTGTCAAAGAATATGATAAAAAGGAAACGTTATTAAGGAGTGAGAATCAATAAAATAACAGGAATTAAGAAGAAAGAAAATAACAATTAATATTGCATTTAAATTTTTGAAGATCAAAGTTGACTGGAAAGTTGTACAGGGAAATTTATTTTGCACAACTCCACTTTACTTTAAGCTTTTATTTGGTCTCTTATCTATAATACCAGCACATGAGATAAGTTTTGAAAAGTTTAAAAACAAAAAAACAGTCTTGCAACATAGCAAATAAGGTTTTAAATTTATATAATTTCTTGTGTATCCCTTTAGATTCTAATGGGATAATTGCATTCCAATAAAATATCTATTAACAATGCTTGTTGTTAATTTCTGTAAATAATAATCCCTGCTATTTGTTACATCATCATACTTTTGGGAAATTTTTGTTTTACTAGAACTTACTTTCTATTTAAAAACACATTGGCTCAAAAAATAGTGCTTACTGTATGTCACATAAGTTCATTAAAATAAAATATTAAAATGATTGTGTAAACATCAGATGTATCAGGAAAGGGTTTTCAAGAATTTATTCTTGGTAGTTTTTATTTACACAAGTTATATGTTTATTATTTTACCTTAAATTCAGTATTTTATTAATTTCATTAATCAATGTTTTTAAAATATTTAAACCTGCATTAGGTTATTGAAAAGTTCTCAGCTCAATCCACTTCCCAAAATCTGACCTAATGACCAAACATGGAAAAGTTTTTCTGGAAGATTTTTTGGTCAGCTGAGAACTTCTTAGCACTCTCTTTCTCATCATTGCTTTTTGCTTTTGTTTCTTTTCTTTTCTCCATTGAATATTGCTGCCATATCTGGTCTGGGACTGTTGCTATATATCTCAAGATTCTTGACAAAATTTAATGTAGGGTCTGTAATATAATCGATCTTTACCTGGCATCTCAACTTCAGTTATTTTTCTCACTGGAGTGGTGTCGCTTCCCTCTGTCATTTCTACAAATATTT